ACAATCCCTGATTAAAACTTACCGGATGATCGAGCAGTGTCCATGCATTTACAGATATAGACAGTCCACATGGCTCATGACCACAGCTCCGATACCACAACATGTAGCACCATATTTCTACTTTCATTTATATCCTATATGCATGACTGTAATAGGATACTACCTTTTCATTTACTAATGTTATAAAAAATAATATAGCCAAAAAAAGGATAATTTTGAAATATGTTAATTTGCTAAACAAAATGACAAGGTTTCCTTATACATATTGGTGTTTGACACCTGTACATACGTTATAAACACAATCTTAAACCACACATGCATTTTCAATCCAAAACTCATGTACATAAAAATGTGCCTATAGGTCGCCATCTATACTTGCTTTGATATGGGCCCGTACTTGCTCACCTCCTTATGTATCTTATGGATGGATTAACAGTATCCTTACTTGCAAAACAAGATCTATAATTAGTGATAACTCAGGAAGTATAAACTTTCAATTTAACATATTAAGATGAGCATGCATTGTGTTATATTTTCAACATTTCAAAATCAAATGTATTAAACATATCACGACAGATGCTTCACAACATGATAGATTCCTAATAAGGAGATAAAATTCTGATTTAATACACATATTCAAGGATAATTCATAGTACCTGCAATAGAAATTATAATATATTCATGAACTTTATTACATATTTCATAATATATATGTGCACTCTTATACCGCACGTCATAATGCATATATGTACTCCCACACCGCACATCATAACATATATGTACACTCGCATACCACATGTCATAGCATATACGTGCACTCTCATATCACATGTCATAACATATACGCGCACTCCCATACTGCATGTTATAATATCTACGTACACTTCCACATTATACATTATAATATATATGAGCATTCCCACATTGCACGTTATAATATATACATGCATATTATTTTTTTTCATTGCAATTCATATATTTTCATGCTTATGCAATGCACACATTAATATTGAGTTTAGACCTAGCTTATGACCATCTTGTCATTCAAAACATGTTTTTAAATATACATTACGCTCATGATCATCTTATCTTTTAAAATATACTTTCAAACATAAATTAAAAACATGTCAATCTTATTATTCAAAACATGCTTTCAAAATACATTTTGA